ACGTCTCTTTCGGTCTGTGCGTAAAGAGATCTTTAGCCTAGACCAAGCCTACATTCATTATCTACAATTTTAATAAAAATTAAGCCCAGAATGGTGACTTGAGCTTTCAACCTTTTGGATGTGGAGGGAGGAGGGTTAGGAGTTTGAAACTGGCTTGAGCTTCAAGAGACCCTGTCCTGAAAAAAAGAGAAAAAGAAAGAAAGAAAGAAAGAAAGAAAGAAAGAAAGAAAGAAAGAAAGAAAGAAAGAAAGAACACTGACTATTCTCGCAGAAGACCCAGCTTCAAATCACAGAACCCACATGGCAGCCAACAACTATCCATAACTCCAGTTACAGGGGATCCAACGCCCTCTTCTGACTTCCTTGGGCACTGCATGACATGGGTACACTTACACACATGCAGGCAGTATACCCATACAAATAAAATAAAAATAATAAATACAATACTTAAAATATATTGATTTTGTTATAAAGAAACCAGGAAAATATTTAGGAAGGAAGGAAGGAAGGAAGGAAGGAAGGAAGGAAGGAAGGAAGGAAGGAAGGGAAAGGATGGACAGCTATGTAATAATTAGAGTCTCACTATGTAGCCCAGGCTGGCCTCCAATTTGTAATTCTCCTGCCTCGGCCTCCCAAGTGCTGTGATTGCAGTCCTGCTCCTTCATACCTTATAAGCATTTCTTGAACAACATTCCATTGTAGTCTATGTGACATACAAATACACATTAAGAAAAATTCTACACTTAAAAATTAAACTAATCTAAATTTGCCTTCTAAATTTGGAAGTTTGGCTTCCTGAAGAATATTGACCTCTGTGTTATTGGACAAAATTTAAAGGACATATTATTTTGCTTCTCCCTTTCCTCCCACCTTGGTATACTTAAATATGCCCCTACCAAAGTTCCATTCCAGATGGGACAAGCAATCCAAACGCTCCATCCTGTGAACCAAAGCTTGCAGGAAAAAACAGGGAAGAAGGCGACACCACCGGAAAAGACACTGAGGCTCCCCAGAGTGACCAGTGTCCAGCCAGCAGCGGGGTAGAGGCCCTTCATTTTCCTAGTGAGTGGAGTTCTCTCTTGGAGATATTTCGTTACCAAAACATGAGGGTAGGCCAGGTCTCAGTAAACAGAAGAGTCTTAGAGATGGTAGCTAGGATGCCTTCGACTGCTGGAAACAAGTTCTGGAAACAATGTTCACTTTAGAGTGGAACCCTAGGCATAAGTTAGACACAATAAATTCTGTCCTTTTCATATATATCTATATATGAGTATATCTATCATCTATCATCTAACATCTAACTCTCTGTCTCTCTGTCTCTGTCTCTGTCTCTCTCTCTCTCTCTCTCTCTCTTTCTCTCTCTCAGAGAGAGAGAGAGTTTTGGAGCTGCCTGGAGTCCCTTCATTTGCCTTGTTCTGGGAAGTGACCACTTCCTGGCTTAATCAGATTCAAAGGCTTGCTGACTGAGCTAATTGTTTCTCAACTCAACCTGCCTGGTGGTTACAGCATAAAGCCAACATCCTCTGTGCACAATAGAGCCACATTCCCAGCAAAAGTTCCCACAGAGCCTAGTGACAAAAAAGGCACCCTGATCACTTTTCACTGTTCATCATATTTAATTTAAATGACTTAAAGCAAACAAGACGTTCCTTTCAAAGTTTAATTCCAGTACAATTTTTTTTTAAGCCAATGCCCAGGAACTTGTTGTATAAACCAGGTTGGCCTTGAACTTGCAGTAATCCTACTGCCTCTGGCCCTCCAAAGGCTGATATTACAAGAATGCACCACCATGCCCAACAATTCAAAAGTAAATTGATTAAAGTTAACGCCCAGCAATTAAAATTTTTTTAAAAGTTAATTACACGTATTTACTTATGTGTGTGTGTGTGCGTGTGTGTGTGTGCACATGTGACATACATACAGAGGTCATAGGACAACTTGCCAGAGTTGGTTCTATCTTCCCATCATGTGGGTTTTGGGGAATGAACTCAAGTCTTCAGGCTTGGCAGTATGTGAGTTTATCTGCTAAGCCTCCTTTCTAGTCCTATTTTTAAACCTTTTTTTTGGGGGGGGTTGGGGGGAGGCAGGGTCTTCCTATAGCCCCAACTGGCCTGGAACTTGCTATGTAGGCTAGGTTATCCTCGATCTCACAGAGCTCTGTCTGCCTCTGCCCCCCGAGTGCTGGGATTAAAGGTGTGTGCCACCCACACCCAGCTGTTTTTTTAACTTTTGATAAAGTTTTTTGAATGTGAGCCATCCTTACATGGGTCTAGTTCTTGTTTTGAAGTTCCGCATTGTTCCCACTAAGTTGCCTTTACCTTAGCTGTTTTATTATTTTTCTAATTTTCAAGTCAGTGCAAAGATAAATACATGTAATTCTAAAATAAAACAAACTCTGAGATGTAATTTATCAGCTGAATGAAATGCAAATCTTTATTCATCATTCTGAGATGCTGAGATTATGCAAATTTAAGATGTTGCAAAAGTTCATGTCTTAATTTTTTGTGCTTTTGAGAAAGTAGTTTGTATTTGAATTTTACTAACAAATATATATGTATATGCAAATATGTACTTGAATGCCTTTTCCTAATTGTACCTGTGTGTCTGTACACACTTGCATACACACATGCCATGGTACACATGTGGAGCTCAAAGGACAACTTTCAGGAGCTGGTTCTCTCTTTCTGTCACAGAGGTTCTGGGGATTAAATTTAGGTCATAGGATGGCTTATTCTCTGAGCCATCCTGCCAGGCCCCTACTTTGTGTTTTTGAGACAAGGTTTCTTATCAGTCTGGGGCTTGCCAATTTGGCACTGCGATTACAAACTAAGTCTGGCTTTTTTAACACTGGTTCTGGGCATCAAAGTCACATTCTCATGTTTGTAAGGTATATTCATTACTTTTTGTTGCTATGATAAAACATCATAACCAAGGCGACTTATAGAAGGAAGAGTTTATAGGTCTTATAGTTCCAGAAGGGTGAGTCTAGCATGGGGGGGAGGTGGGAGGGGAGGAGCAGGAACAGACAGCTGAGTGCACACATCTTCAAGCAGGAAGAGAGCAACAAGTCTGGAAGTGGGTCAAGGCTACCAAGTCTCAAAGCCTCCCCCAGTGACATGCTGCCTCCAGCATGGCCTCACTTCCTAAAGGTTCCATGACCTCCCCAAACATCACCAACTGATTAAGTGTTCAAATACATAAAGCAAGCACTTGACAATTGACCTATTGCCCCAGCTCACCAATGCCTTTGTTTGAGACAGTTTCACTATGTTACACACGTTGGCCTTGAACTCTCAATCCTCATACCTCAAGCCTCTTGAATGCTAAAGTTATAGGTACACACCACCAGAGCTGGCAGATCCAAGGCAACATTTTCTGAAGTTATCTAAATACTATTTTTCTATTTTGTGTTAATATGCTTTTCTTAAATAAAATGATGAAAGACAATTTTATGCATGGGAATGTGATGGTTTAAGATCATGATTGCTTTCATTTAGTGTGTGAGTATCTGGGTGTGTATGTGTGTTTGTGTGTGTCACACTCATGTCATGGTGTACTTGTGGTCAGACAACAACTTGTGGGAGTCAGTTCTCTTCTTCCATCATGCGAATCCCAGGAATCAAACTCAGGTCATCAGGCTTGGTGGCAAGCACCTTTACCTGCTGTGCCATCTTGCCCCACAACGTGGTTTTAGAGTCAGGTAAAGCTGGAATCTGATTCTGGTTTCCCCCTTTACTAGGTTTGTGTCCTTAAGGAGGGGCAAATTACTTATTTTTTCTGGGCCCATTTCTCCATAAGAGAGATGGGGATGAAATTAGTGTGTAACACACCAGGTGGTTAGTTGAAAGGCAAAGTGAACGATTCATGCAGGTGCTTAACACCAAGCTCTCCACCTTGAGACCATCCGAAAAGTTGCCCATTACTCCATGGGGACTTCTTTCTTTGGTGTTCTTCCGGCAAGGAACAAAGGCTGAGCCATCACTGATTCTTTTATTCATTACCTTACAAATGTTAGGCTTGACTCTTCCTGATCAACTCAGTAAGGACTTCCAAGGGACCCTCCCATGCTTGGCAGAGATAGAAGCATCTGATTCTCTGCTTTCCCTTTCTCCCTATGCTCTATAATAGCCATTCCACAAGTTGTTGACCCAGATTTCAAAGCAGTTGCATTCCTAGATAGGCAGAATCCGGGAAACGTGCTTCAGCTCTATGGTGTGGCTGCTGTTACCCATTTCCTCTCCACCCTGTGGGCTGTATTCTCAGATTACTTTTTTCCCCAACAAATGTTAGATAAACTTCACCAGGGAAGAGACCTTGTGAGTCTGCACCCTGTAAATATGCATGACCTCCCCACCAGCTACGCCTGTATCTGGCACAGAGCAGATACACAGTAATAAATACTTGTTGAATTAATTCATGGGATGTAAACCTTTCCAGCTATGCATTTGGGTCCCAGGGAGACCCAAGGGTGTTCAAGTTCACCGTAGCCAATGCAGAGGCCATTTTGACTGGGGAAAGGGTCTGGGGGAAAGAGACTTGTCTGTACTGGTGTTTGGTGGAAGTGTTTTGACTTTTCCCTCTTATCTCAAGGTTACTTCTTCCTGGTGTGTCAGTACACTGTGGGTCAGCTCACTCTCTCCTGTTTGCATGTTTGGAAAATAAAGACTGTTGAAATCCTCATGTTAAACAGTACAAAGGATGACAAACAAAGAGAGAATGTTTTGTTTTAATTTGGGGGGACTTGTTAAGTGCCTGTAACATACACAGACTAACCCAGATGCTGTTGATGTGATGTCATGAGTGATTAAAAGAGGTGTCATTGCTTAATAAGACCAAGAGAAGGGAGTGAGGCAGAACTGGGGACCCTCTTGTGTTTTCCCCAGGAAGGCTGGATTCATGCTAATGCCATTACATTAGGGCATTCTCAATGGGAACAGAAGAAAAAGACATGTGTTACTCTGCTCCTGTTCCCAGCTCCTCTCCATCAGCATGACCCATACCTTGGCACCATCAGCCACCATTGCTGAGACAGCTCCCTTCTCTGGCACTCCCATTTGGCACATTCTAGAAATGCAGGTATGGGTCTGTAAGTTCTTCTTGGAGGTCGCAGAGTCAAAGATGATGTCTTTGCAGATCTCACCTTCTCTTTGAGCCAAGGGAGCCTCAAGATCTTGCTCAAGGAAGGAATGGTGGAAATTTCACCAAGCACTTCAAGACCACTTTGCCACTAAAAACAAAATGACAAAAGTCTGAACTGAAGCAGGTTGAGGTGGTGCCAGCCTGTTATCCCAACACTTGGGAGGCCGAGGCAGGAGGAACGGGAGTTCGAGGCCAGCTTGGACTATACAGCAAGCCCTTGTCTTACACCTTCCCACCCCCCAGCCCCACCCAAAAAAAGCATGCAAAACTGACATTTGATTCCAGCACTCATCTCTCTCTCTCTCTCTCTCTCTCTCATCTATCTATCTATCATCTATCTATCTCATCTACCTATCATCAATCTATCTATCTATCTATCTATCATCTATCTATCTATCATCTATCTATCTATCTATCTATCTATCTATCTCTCTATCTATCTATCTATCATCTATCTATCTATCTATCTCTCTATCTAATCTATCTACCAATCTTAGATTCACAAAGGTGGGATGATGGCAGGGTGGCTAAAGGACAGAATATGATTTTGTCATGCTCGATTTCTTCAAAGTGCTTTCCTTCATATGTGATCCCTGAGGATAACAGCCCTGTAGATACTCTACTCTTAGGGTTTAAAATCATAGGAGCGATTAGTTTATATCAAAAAGAGAAAAGAAAGCTCCCAAAGACAGATGTACTTAGAATCTATTTTCTTTGTATCTCTCTTCTTTGGTTTAAGCATTAGGGGGTTAGTTTATGTACTAGAAAGAGCATAAACTCTGCTGTCAGAGAGATGCGGCCTTACTGGGCATGGTGGAGCACGCCTGCATTCCTAATGCTTGGGAGGCAGAGACAGGAGGATCAGGAGTTCAGGGTCATTCTTAGGTATGTATCAAGTTTGAGGCCAGTCTGGGCTACATGAGACCCTGACAAAAATGGGTAAGTGGCTAGAGAGTGGTCCAGTGGATAAAGTGCTTGGTTTGTAAGTGTGAAGACCAGAGTTCAGATCCCCAGAATTCATGTATAAGTGTGAAGACCAGAGTTCAGATCCCCAGAATTCATGTAAAGTTGGATGTGGTAGTATCTGCAATCTTAGCATGCCTAAAGCAAGACTGGGGGAGGGGGCGAAGACCATAGAAGTCCCCAGAGGAAGCTACCATATCCAGTGCTGAGAGATTCTGCCTCAAACAAGGTGGAAGTCATCGACACCTGAATTTATCTTCTGACCTCCACATGTGTGCACACTCATGTGCACACACACAAACATACTCTCCCCCAGGAAGAAAAGAAAGGGAGGGATGGAGGGCCTAGCTTAATACTGAAGATTCCATCTGAGATATAAAAAACAGACAAAAAAAAAGAGAGAAAAATTAAAACTGATCACAACAGCAGATCAGTAACTGGTTTAGGCAGGGATCATAGCAGACATTAGAAACACTGGTTAAAAGGAAAAAATGACAGTGTAGTACATGTCTGTTATCATGGTAACCAAGTGATCTAATTACATGACCATTAATAGGACAAACCTACGTCACTGCCTCCTGATACAACATGAAGCCTGTATACTTTATCACCTGGTTAGTATTAGTATTTTTGCCAAGAATGTTTAGCCTGAATCTAATTAAAAAGGAAATAATTAGATAAATTCAGAAAGTAGGGATATTTTACAAAGCACTCAAAGCTATCTAAGCCCTGAAAGTTAACAGGAAGGTTGCTAGGTCAATTGTGGAACTGAAGAGTGGGCTTGTTATTAGATGATGTACTTTATTTATATTAAGAATCTTGGGCAAATATATGGAGTTGTGTTTATATAAGAGACTGTCTTGGGCTGGTAGGCTGGCTCAGTAGGTAAAAAGGTGCTTACAACATAAGCCTGATGACTTGAGTTTGATTCCCAGAGTCCACATAAGAGTGGAAGGAGAAAACTGACTCCACAAAGCCCGTGCTGTGCACAAGTCTGCTCTACCCCATCTTACACACGCTAATCATAAATGAAGTAGATACTTAAAAGGAATGTCTTATAAGTGAGATTATGTTCTTTAGGCTTTCTTTCAGCTTTTCTGTAGGTTTGACACTTTCAAGTTAAAAACTGCAAGAAGGGTCTGGGGATGTAGCTCAGCTGATAGAGTGCTTGGCTAGCATGCATGAATCCTGAGCTTGATCCTCAGTACAAATATACAATGCTTACCACTCCAGCACTTGAGAGGTGGAGATAAGGTCAGAAGGGCAAGGTCATTTTCAGCTACATAGTGAGCTCAAGGCCAGCCTGGACTACATGCCACTCCCCACCCCCTACCAAAAAAAATGATAGAGGCATTGAAGCTATAACATTCAGTGTTGCAGTACTGGTTTGGCATATATGAAGTCCTGGTTCAGTTCCAGCATGGGTAAATAAATATGGCAATATATACATACACATATGTGTACATATGTACATACACATGTGTATATATGTACATGTCTATATGTGTATATACAAGTGAACATATGTACAAATTTGTTTCATCAGTTACCATTTTAACATATTTTATTTATTATTTTTGTTATGTGTATGAGTGTACTGCTTGCATGTATGGGAGTGCATCTGTGTCATGCAATGCCGTGGAGGTCAGAAGAGGGCTTTGGATTCCCCTGGAACTGGAGTTAGGACAGTTAGTAGCTTCTATGTGGATGCTGGCAATTGAACCTGGGTCCTCTGCAAGAGCATTCACTGCTCTTAACTGCTGAGCCATCTCTCCAGCCCCATCAGTTATCATTTTAATCAAGTGAGCAAAATTTACATGGCTGTAACAGACAGACTGACATCACACACACACACAATTTTTGTGGTACTAGGGATTAAACCCATGGCCTTATGCTAGGTAAATGCTTTACCACTAAGGTATATCCCTAGCCCCCCCCCCCCCCGTTAGCTTTTGAGATTGTCTTGCTAAGTTACTCAGGCTGTCCTTAAACTCATTCTGTAGCCCATGCAAGCCTTGAACTTTCCCTCAGCCTCCTGAGTAGATGGGATTTCAGGCCTGTAACTCAAGGTCCAGCTAAAAAGATTTATTAACTGCATAGAATGAAACGTGGGCCTTACAGGCATGCTGGCTGAACAACCTTTGGTGACTTTAATGAACGTGGGTCACTGTGGTGCATGGATACACAGTGAAGTTCTTCAGCAGCTAACCAAAGCCTGTCTTCCTAGGCCAAAAAGATAGAACAGGTGTGCTGGGTTCCATTGTGAAGGGTTACCACCCAGAAAGACACAACTTTGCACATATTTTTGTTTCTTTCCAAACAGCCAATTTCTTAATTCACTTAAAGCCTTTCCGATGTTCACACACAGTACACATTTCCTTCTGCTTTTTACTGGCTGTTCACTTTCAACTTTGAGTGAACCCTCTTTCCTCATAATGGCGCTGGGCTTATGGGGAACAAAGTTCAGTTTTTATCATCCCTTACTGGGAATTGTCAAATTTAAAGCCCTCCAATCTGCAAGCTGTTTGGACCTACCTAGAGATTGGTGCATTGACTTGTGCTTACTTAATTCAGATTATATCTGCCTTTAGCATATCTGACCTTCTAGTGTGTTTTGAAATCATCTGGAATTTATCAGACTTTTCCATGATTTCTGAGGGGCAAAACAACTCAACTGTGTCACCAGCAAGCTTGAGCAGCTAGCTGTGGGTTTGCTTGCCCAGGCTTTCCAGTTGCAAGGACCTGTTCTTACTGCCACTGTCCCTGCTAGCATCCCTCCACTGGCCTCTGTGGACACCGGCTTCTTCTGCAAAGGCCACTCCTATCTTATTTTACTGTGGAGATAGAGAAGTCACAGATACAACAGCGATGTGGCAGCTGCTGTGATGTATTGGTGCTTTGGCCACCAAGGAGAAAGGAAGAACCAGGCACAGAGGGAGAAGCACCGGGGTGTCAGGGGAAGAGGTGGGGGAAAGGCAGAGAGAAAAGAAAAGCCTGGGACTTTCTCGGGGCCAAAACCAGCTTCCTGGTCACTCACAAATCCAAAGCCTGGGACTGGGGACAAAGGACCCATGGAAGCTGCAAACTGTTCACGTACAGGTCACAAAAGATGTTTGAAGGGTAGAGAAAAGGGAAATAGGTAGGGGAAAAGATTTTTAAAAATCAATAAGGAAGGGGACACTCCACATAGCCTGAAATCTTCTCAGAGCCTGTTTGTGTTAAAGTTTGCTTTCAGGGAGCTGTAGAGAGGGCTGACCAGTTAAAAGCACATATTGTTTTTGCAAAGGACCCAAGTTCCCAGCATCCATAGCAGGTAACTGCAGTTCCTGGACATCCAATGCCTTGGTTTCCATGGATACTGCACCAACATGTACATCCCACTCCACAGACACACACACATACACATAATTAAAAAACACCTAAAAAGATTGCTTTTAGTGAAAAAACTTTGGGTTATTTATGTATTTATTTTTGAGTCAAGAACTCACTATGTAGCCCCGACTATACCGGAACTTGTTATATAGACCAGGTTAGCCTTGAACCTGCAGCAATCCTCCTGCTTCAGCACCCAAGTGCTAGGATTACCCATGTGCACCACCACCTCAGGCTTAGTCCTTTCAAATAGAAAATGTGTGTCCACTTATTTTTGCCTCTTGACATGTTTGAAAAAGGAAAGAACCAAATTGTTCTGTGTGAGGTTTGACACGCTTTTTTGAACCAATTACCCATGTCAAAGGCAAAGGAGGAATGGCCAAAATGCATCACTAATCTTCAACTGTGCTCATTATTAGTCCCATTTTGCAGATGGTAAAATCAGAGCTCTGAGATGTTAAATGCTCTCTACCAAAAGCAAATATAAGTATTGAGTTTGGGTTGCTTGACTCTGTAGATTATAAGTTTTTTACTTTTCCAATAGGTCAATATATAGGTGTAAAAGTATGTATTATAATACCAAGAGAGAGGCACATAGTGATGGTCGAATTAAGAGTCTTTTATTAATAGCCAGTGGCCAGAGATGGGGGCTAATGCCCAAAAGAACTCTTGACCCCGAGAAGAAGCAGAACAGGACTTATAAAGCTTAAAACTGCAATTCATTATGCCAGGGGCAAAGGCAATAACCATAGTTATATCAGATCAGCATAGTTACACCAGACCAGGGGCAGGTCAGTTAACAAAGAGGTTTTCAGTTAACAATGAGTTTTGGTTAGGCTGGGAGAGAGGATGTGCTATCTGGACACACTACGTGGCTACTGTAAGTTTCCCTGTATTGTAGAAACAATGTCCTCCCTGAAACTGCCTGCACGAGATGCTCTTCTGCCTGGCTGGCTGCAGTGGGAATGGCTGGGCAAAAACACAGGGTAAAGCCAAAGTCAGCTAGAGCAAAATGGAGTTAGTTTTGCCATTTCAGTATATGTACATGTGAACATTTTACTAAATCGTATAGGACTCTACTCAATCTAAGCACACATAAGAGGATGATAATGATGTAGATATACGAGACGATACCAGGACCTCTTTTGATCATTATACTCCCAACTTAAAAAAAAAAAAAAAGATCTGAACTCCTTACTATTCCTCTCCCTCCCCTTCCTTTAAATAGATCAAAAGAAAGAGCTAAAACCTAAGTTTTGTTTTTGTACACAAATATTAAAATTTCAGGGCTGGTGAGATGACTCAGTGGGTAAGTCACATGCGCCGCAAGCCTGACAACTTGAATTTGGTCTCCAGAACCCAAGTAAAGGTAGAAGGAGAGAACCAACTTCACAAAATTATCCTCTGATGTCTAAATATGTGCTATGGCATGTGCTGCCCCCCATGATAATACGCACACAATAATAGTAATGGTAATTGTTTTTAATTCCAGAACTTTTTACTTTTACCTAGAGTATGGCTGAGGATAGTACTTTTCAGTGCTCCACTCATTGGCTCCTGCCCTTGATGTGGAGATGGATTGGAGTGCCTGCTGTATGTTCCAGAAAAAGGTGAGATGCCTCCTGGTTGGACAGAAAAGAAGGTGTAAACTTGAATAAATTCTAACCTCTTGTGATCTTGTGATCTTGTGTTTTTTGTAAAATGTGGAGGTTGGACTGGACGATTTCTGGAATAATTTATCTCTGAGTTACCATGAGTTAAATCCCAAAGGAGCAAAGGCATCTGTGCAACCAGATTACCTGTCCATAATGTGCCTTTATCCCTTGGTGTGGTCTGGAAGGCTGAGATCACAAAAATTCTGCATGTGCTGCCAGCCAGAGGCCATCATGATCCCTGAGCACTATGGTTTAGCCAATTGGAGTTTTCCTTGAGGGATTTCACCCAGCTTTCTTAGAAAGAGGATTCCTTTTGACCCAAGAAGAACACACAGTGGCAGCCATAGGAGCCAGCCACTGGTTAAATATTTAGCAGCCTGTGACTAGCAAGCTCATAACCTCACCATAAGCTAATGGTTGAACCGCAAGCTAATGGTTGTCTATAAAGAAATCAAAGCATGTTAGCAAACAGCAGGCACAGAATGAAGACTTAGAAAGAACCTGTGTGGTGTTTGTAAGCATAGAGATACAATTCAGCACAGATAGGGTGTGGAAGACAGTTCAAAAGAGAATGGCCGTCCACTGGCAAAGACTGACAGATGTCTAGAGAGTCTTTCTTCTTTTTTCATTGAGTAATCTTGTTATTTCTCAGATACAAATGTGTACATAATGTATTCTGATTACTCCCTTCCCCCATCCCTCTGGAAATTCTTGATTCCTGGAAACAAGGTCACTATGTTTTCCAAGCAATGTTACGGTGTGAAATCTGACCTGTCCTGTACAACCTTTACTCCTGTTGCATTTCCATACAGGTGGTATCATGATCTTTTCTGAGATAGAAAATTTGATAAACTGAGCATACCCTTTTGATATATGAAGCTGGGTCACACACTACAAACACCACCCATTGATCTATGTATCAGCTTTGTATAGAAAGGCTCACATTTTTCTTTCAACAGCCCAGATTCCTGTCCTTGCTGGTTTTTGTTGTTTATTTCCACAATAGGAATAAAGGTCATTTGTGCAACTTATGTATCACGTTATTCCAGTACTAAACTCTTTCCATTTCTTTGTTACAACTTACATGAAGAAAACTGACATAAAAGATAAAAAGCTGGGTCTAAGCAAGGCCACCTTAATCTAATGAACAAGTTCACTGGAATGAATATGAGGCTCTAACAATGAAAAGCACATAGGAATAACCCTACTGGAACATCCCAGAGCCAGAGGGATCTTAGGGACTAGCCACACCAAGCCTGTCACTTCACAGAGTCTAGTTAAACTCCCAGGAGAAAACATCTAATTGCCACCCCAGCCTAACCTCTAATAGACCTGTTGCTACCACCCCCTGCTATATCTGTGTTTAGCACTAGGTGTTGCTCTACTGCTATTTATAGAAGCACTGCTCTTTGATAGGTGGCAGGAGCCCAAGGTCTCAGTTACTCACTGTGTTTCCACCGTCATCTGCTGCCTGTCCACCCAATGCCACCATGTGCAGCTTCCCCTAAACAGCGCAGGTGTGGCATATTGAACCCACTGAAACAGCAGCCCTGGAAAAGAGTGATCAATACATACTAAGAAAGGCTATCCCAAAGTTAAATTTTTGTAATTGTCCTAATTCAAATATTTACGTGAACCCTGTTTTTATATTATGTGCAATTCAAGGGGAATGACATTGTTAGCTGTGTTTCCTGGAACTGACTGTCTGCTACAAGGCCACAGATAAAGTTTGTTTATAGAAAAACAAAATATGAAAAAAAAAAAAAACCTTGACACTGTTCTAGATGGGGTTTTATACTCCCCAACACACTTGAGTGGGAGAAAGGCCAACATTCTAGAGTTTTCCCCCTGGCATCAGAAGATAGAAAAACTTTAACCTCATCTGGTGACAGATGAGTCATAGCTCTTAGCAAGTAAGTCTGTCAGAAACTGTTCTCATTGCTTTGACCAAATATCTGGCAAGAAGCAACTAAAGAAGGAAAAGCTTATTTTGGTTCACAATTTGAAGGGACACAGTCGGTCATGGGTGGGGAAGGCATGGTGGCGGGGGACGCAGTCCGTCATGGTGGGGAAGGCATGGCAACAGGAGTCTGAGGTGGCCGGTCACACTGCACTCACAATCAGGAAGCAGACTCTGATGAACACTGGTACTCAGCTCACTTTCCTCACTTTCTCCTTTTAATTATACTCTGTGATGGTTTGAATGAGAATTTCCCCCACAGGCTCCAAGCATGTGAACACTTGGTCTCCAGTTGGTGGTGCTGTTTGCTGAGGTTTAGGAGGTGTGGCCTTGCAGGGGAGGAAGTACGATCACTGGGGGTGGGCTTTGAGAGCTCATAGCCTGGGCCCACTTGAAGTTTCTTTCTGTGCTTCCTGCGCTTGAGGATGTGAGCACATCACTGCCTCCTGCCATACCTCCCCATAATGACTCTTATCCCTCGGGAACTGTAAGGCCATAAACTCTTCCTTCTATAAGTTGCCTCGGTCATGGTGGTTTATCAGAGCAACAGAAAAGTTATTAATACAGACACCCCCATCCATGGAAGGCTGTCACTCAGATGGTCTTCCCCCCTCAGTTAATCCCATAGAGAAATTCCCAAGCATATGCAGACATTTGTCTAGGTGACTCTAGATCTAGACACAGCAACAATCAATATTAGCCATCACAGAATATTTAGGAAGAAGGTAAATTTTCAATCACCTTTAAGTTTTAAAGGATCAGCTAGTTGTGGGAGCTAAGGCAAGAGGATTGCTTGGGTTCTAGGTCAGCCTGGGCTACAGTCTTAAACAAGCAAACACACAACAACAGTTTCTAAAAATTATTTTATTTATTATTTTTATTTTATGTATATGAGTGTATTGCCTGCAAGTATGTGAGTGCACCGATGTCATGCAATGTCACAGAGGTCAGAAGAGGGCACTGGATTCCCCTGGAGCTGGAGTTGAGGACAGTTTGAAGGTGCTATGTGGGTGCTGGGAACCGGACTCAGGTCTCTGCAAGAGCACTCAGTGCTCTTAACTGCTGAGCCCTCTCTCCAGCTCCCACAACAAAAGTTTTAAAGAATAAAAAATTCAACTATTAGTCCTCAGCATTGTTCCTTGGTTCTGTAAGATTAGATAAACTTAGATCTGGTCTAGGCCCAGCACAGATGTTCAGGTCCTGAAAGTTGCACACACCATGATTTTGTAATATAAGCTTAAAAACGTTCAGAATATATGTAGCAAAAAGGTGTACAGTTTATTGTTGCTATCCATGTTATTTTCCCCCCATCTTGTTTCCGTTATTTATCAGTCACTATTTGTAATAGTAGCAATCAGGAAATGATGCTAAAAGCCACCTATATTCGTTACTTTTCTATTGCTGTTTCTCAGTACTCAAGAAGCAGAGGCAGAAGGGTCAGAAGTTCAAGGTCATCCTCAAGGATGTATGGAGTTGTAGGTCAGCTTGTCTGGGGTTAGGGGGAGGGAGGAAAGAAGGAAGGGAGGGAGGAAGGGAAGGGAGGGAGTGAGAGAAGGAAGGCAGACAGGAAAGAAGGGAGGGAGGGAGGGAGGACTGAAGCCCAACACCTCAGTTTTATTAGAACTGGAAGAACAGTGGGAGGTAGCCACACAGAGTCTAGCTGCTGGGACCTTGGTATGAGCCCTTCAATCTAGTCCTAAAAGGAGGGTTTCTTTTCATTTTCATAGCGCTGGCTTCTGACAGGAATAAATACTTGGCAGAAATCTGACATTTTTACAAAATGTTCTTCCCAGCGCTCGCTCTCTCTCTCTCTCTCTCTCTCTCTCTCTCTCTCTCTCTCTCTCTCCCCTCTTCTTTCCTGAACATTCTACTAATTTCTGTCTTTTGATGATAAACCATGCTGTGGTTCTTACAGGATATCCACTTAGGGTGTTTACAAACGGACCTATTCTCAAGATTCTCTCAGTTTCTCTTTCCCTGCTCCTCATAGCTCATGGATAACAGAGTAGTAAATTAGGTAGCTGTCTTCCTCCACACTTTTTGTTATACTCCATATCAAAGGTAGGCAAAAGTGGCTAGAGGTCAAAATTCCCTGTTCTCTGCAGCCTCCAGGAAGAGGTATTATGTGTCAAGAGAGTTATTTGTTTCCTGTAAGGGTGGGGAAAGAACTTTTTAAAGAGTAGTAGACAGAAGAGTTGGTGCACTCTTGGATACTGCCACTTAGACATAGCTAGGTCTGCGGATGTACTTATAGGGGTAAGATACAGTAAAACCTGTGAAAATAGGAATAGAAGGTAAAGTGTTTGTTACTATAGCTTAAGGACCCAAGTTCAGATCCCTAACACCCACACAAAAGCCAGATGTGATGACTTGCATTCATGACCCCAGTTGGGATGGCAGAGACAGGCAGATCCCTGAAACTCTCCAGCCAGCCAGTTGAGTGGAATTAGTGATAGACCTTGTCTCAAAAAATCGGATGGCAATTGATAGAGGAAGACACCTGATGTTGATCTCTGGCTTCCATCACCTGTGTACAGATATGAACACACCCAGGAACACCTACACACACATATACCACACACACACGTATTTAAAAAAACTGTGAAACTAGACTTAGCATTCACATACACATACACAAAACATTCACTCACACATTCAAATACAAATTTAAAAAAATCTTTGGAAATAGACTTATTCGCACACACACATACACACACACACACACACACACATACCACACCACACAATTTTTAAAAGCTGTGGAACTATACTCACTATTAACACACAGTCACACCCAGAGAGACACTCATCCATACACAAATTTTTAAAAAACTGTAGAAATATACTTCCATTTATATACGTACTCTCTGCTAAATTGATCAAAGTTAGAAGAGGTCCTGGGCCTGGCCTTTCTAAAATCACTATAATCTCCCAGCTCCCTGCCTCTCCACTGGTACTTTTCATTTAAATAAGGGCAGGGAGATGACTATGAGTCTTATCTTGCTTAAAAACTAGTTCCAATCTAGTTCAACAGCTCTTATTTTCCAGTTTTACTCTAAAATTGAGACAAAATGCCTCTACTAACAGCAAAATAAAAGCCAAATTCCTACTCCATTGCCTCATTTTAAAATTGTTTCCTAATAATGCATTTTTGTGTGAATATTGAAAAAGAAACTCATTCTGCACTGCAGAGGCAAGCCTGCACACAGGCTGACCCCAAGTTGCTGTCCCCAGAAGACGTTCATTTCAGGCCACATAGAATTCCCCAGTTCCTTGATGATGGAATAAAAAAAAAACAGAAAACATTACAAAACCCAGTATATGCATTTGGGGCCAACGTTAAACCATGGACTTCCTGTATGTTTTCCGTGTTTAGCCCCCTTCGTACTTGGCAAACACGCTACCACTGAGCCACATTCCTAGTCCATATTGTCTTGTAGGTCAAACAATTCCCATTTCCTGTATGTGGAGTTGATTTGTCAAACTTTATACTTATTCAAGTTTAACTTCTTGGTCATTTTATCTACTTTTCTGCTCTATTGAAATCATCGTGAATATTTCTTCTGACATTTCCATGCAGTTTCTATCTGCAGATTTAATAAACACAACTCTTTAAAATTCACATCTAAGTTGTTAGATAGTAATTCACTAAAAATATCCCTCTACTTGTCACTGGGTGTCTTCCCTTCATTCAGCCCAAACACTGAGGGCATATATGTACAACAAAACAGGAAAAGGGTATACATAGTGACCTCTGCTTGTGATCTCAGTTGGGAGGCAGAGGGAGGAGGATCACTACATGTTCAAGGCCTGCCTGGCCTATATAGTGAGTTCTAAAACAGCCAGAGCACGTACAGAGATCCTGTCTCAAAATAAAAAAAAAGGGGGGGGGGCATTTTTTTTAGTGGTATAGCCAATAAGTTGTCCATGTTTCTGTAAGTAAACCTAATTAAACTAGTTGGCTTAAAAAGCAGACAAATGGGCTGGAGAGATGGCTGAACCCAGGGTTCAGTTCCCATCACCCACATAGCAGTTAACAGTCATCCACAACTCCAGTTCCACGGGATCTGACCTCTCCTGGCCTCTTTTCGCATTGCATGAGACTGATGCACTTATACACATGCAGGCACATACACATAAAATATAAATAAATCAGGGCTGGAGAGATGGCTCAGTGGTTAAGAGCACTGACTGCTCCTGCAGAGGACCCGGGTTCGATTCCCAGCACCCACATGGTGGCTAACAACCATCCATAACTCCAGTTCCAGGGGAATACAACACCTTCTTCTGACCTCCATGGGCATTGCACGACATGACACAGATGCACTTACACACATGCAGGCAATACACTCATACATATAAAATAAAAATAATAAATATTTAAAAATATTTTTATTTTTTATAAAATAAAAATATTTTAAATTTTTTGATTTATTTATCTGTAAATAAATCAAAAAATTAAAACAAACAAAAGATGAGGCTGGTGAGATAGCTCAGCAGTTAAGAGTACTTGCTGTGCTTCCAGACCACCTAAGTTTGGTTCCCAGTATGTACACTGGGTGGCTCACAACCACCTG